AGGCCAGGCACCGCCGTGCCCTGGGCGGGTACCGGACAGCGTGTGGGCAGCGCGCGCCCCACTCACCTTCTCTCCCTTAAAGCCTTTTTCTCCCTAAAGAGAAAGGAGAGAACCAGTCAGCGGGGGGGGCCCCAGCCGTGACAGCAGCATGGCCCTGAGCGAGGCGGGGCACATACCTTCATCCCCTGGTAGCCAACGGGCCCGAGGTCGCCTTGCTTGCCCTAGGGACAAAACCCAACAGGTTAGATGTGTCAGGAGCCCGCGCGCCACCGCTGGGCCTATTCCGGCTCTCCTGGCAGGTGGCGGCTGGGTTTAGAACAGTCAGCAGAGCCCCACACCCCAGCGCTGCTCTGTCCCCCCAGAACCGCCCCTGGCTCGGCCTGCATGGCGCCCTCCGACGTCTGGGAACAGGCGACAGGAGGGGCCACGGGAGGATTCCCGGGTCTGGTCCCTCCCTCCGGGGCACTGGCCGCGGTGGGCAGACGGGCCTGGGTGAGATGGGCCTTGGGCCTGAGCCCGTCTGTCCGTGCTCATGCCCTTGTTCTAACTCCGTCAGCGAGCGCGAAGGAGCCTGACGACAAGGGGATCCCAGCAGCCCCGCACAGCACTTCCTCTCCCCACGCACGCAGGGAGTCGCTCGTCCGCTGTTAGGGAGCACCCGGCCATCGCCGGTGGGACTTGGAAGGAAAGTTTAGTCGACAGAGAAGAAAAACCGTGAGAGAGGAAATATCCCAGGCTGGGTTTTCCAGGCTGAAAACACACGGCAGCCTGTGCTCCGAGGGGTGTGGGCGAAACACACGCCCCAAAGTAAATGTGCCTCATAGGAAAGGGCGGGGGGCAAAGGGAGTGGTGGACCCCCCCCCCCCCCCCCCATAACACTGTCCTGTCTGTCCCGGGAAGGGGCATCGGCGCCAACGCTGCGTGGGCATCCCTGGGCGAGGTGAGTCAGAGGAACGGGCTGCTGGAAAACTGGCTATTTTGGGGTTGGGCCTCAGGCCCGGTGTTGGCAGCAAGGAGGCGAAGGGCTGACTCAGACATGGTCACCACTCAGCACCGTTGCCATAGTGCCCCCCGCTGTAACCCAGCTGAGGCCACTGACAGCTCCCAGCTCCTGGGCGCCCAGGGCAGAGTCGGACACAGACCTGCCTAGGAAACCCCCCAGGAGCCAAGGGGCTTTCAGGGCCTGCTCCTCCGAGCCAGCGCGGCATCGTTCGAACCCGGGACGAGCAGGGACTCAGGGCCCGAGCTACCTCGTCGTGGGAAGGCCGGTCCTGGCTGTGATGCAGTGGGGGGCTGTCTGCTCAGTATCCTGGGGTCCCCCCGCACTGCGATTCCCACGGACTCACCCACACGCACATTGGCCCAGACGCCTAGGCCCAGCCTGAGCAGATAGCAAAGCTCTTCCCAGGGGGAGAGACAAAGGGAGGGAGGTGGAGACCTGGCTGGGGGGCAGGGCCTGGGAGGGAAGGGAACAGGCTAAGCTGGGTGCTGAGGGTTGGGGGGGGGCAATGGACCCCTAACCCAAGGGGTCTGAGGAATCCTGCCCCTGACTCCTGTAGCCACGTCACGTCTGTGCTGGGCTGTGTCCTGGAGAAGCAATGAACCCCCCTGTTCTACTGGCGGAGTCTGGCTGCTATGGGGGTGCACGATCGGGGAGACCCCGACGCGCCGTCACACTGGCCAACCCATCTCTTTCACATGACCCCTGCCG